GATTGTTTGTTTTGTGTTGAGGGGGGGGGTTTACTGGTTTGTTTTTTGGGGTTTGTTTGGGGGTTTTTTGTTTTTATTTTTGCTTTTGCCCTAGCTCTTGTTTTTGTTTGGTACGTTATATTCTAAAGTGCAATCCTGTCATGATCCCTCTCGGGGCAGATTTATCAGGAGGAATGGCGTATGTTGGAGAGAACGCGTTAGATTACCGAGTGTCTATTTATTGTATATGCATATAGCGTTGGGCGTTGCTTTGATCTGATCTATGACGTTATCGTGACGTATGCCTATAGAACTTAGCTGTCTGGCTGATGGCATTAAAATTGATGATGAACTTACATGGAAGGAACGGAAGTATAGGCCCTCGCTATTTGGTTTATTTTGTGCGATGCGAAGACATATGCTTTTTTATTGAAAAGGGGGGGGGGGATAATTTGATGGGTGCTTCTTTAGCAAAAAGGGGGAAAAGGTAGGGAGACTATTATTCTGTGAAATGGTTAAGATCTGTCATGTTATTTCGCTTTAAAAAATCTGTGTATGTGTGTGTTTGCATGTGTGTATGCCTATATGTAACTGTATGTGTGAATGTGTGTATGTGTGTGTGTGATTGTATGTATATGTGTGTATATTATTATGTAGGTGTTTGTGTGTGTTGGGATACGTATATGTCCGTGTGGATGTTAGCGGTGTACTGCAACGCAACACAGAGGCAAAGACACAACGCTAATTATGTTTTAGAACTTTTGATACCGTGTTCCGAAAGCTTTTTTTTTCTCCCTTAGGAAAGTATATTTGGTTAATTTCCTCCTCTTAACTCATCCACCCCTACCCCCGCCTCTGCGGGTGGTTGGCGGGTGCTCTGGTGTGGTTTGCTCCTTCTTTCCTATCAAACATCTGTCATCCTCACCTCTCCTCCTTCTTTTTATGTTTGTTACTCTTCTTCTTGTTACTTCTCTAATCCTCGGCACGTATATGACCTAAATGTATGACCTAAATGTATGACCTAAATGTATGACCTAAATGTATGACAACTGCCATAAAACGCTTACCAAAACATAAAACTTGTTTTTTCTTTTTTTCTTTTTTTTTTAAAGAAAAAAAAGTGTAAACTATAACTCTCACTTTTTCTCTCCACCTCCTCTCCTCCCTCTCACCCTCCTCTCCCTCTCACCCACCCCCTCTGCCTCCCCCTCCTCCTCCAGGGTACCGCTGGACCTCCGGCTGGCCCACATCCGGGACGAGCTGGCGGAACAGCTGCAGCTGGATGACGTCAGAGACTACGTATTTCTCCGCAGTGTCGGCCGCAGTCTGACCAGGGTGAGTGGAACATTTTTGGTACATTGTTGTGTCTTTTGTTTGTTTGTTTGAGTAAAGAGAAGCACATCGACACAATAATGGTCATTTAGTGCTGGGGAAAAGAAAGACAGACACACAGAAACAACAGAGTAAAGAAATAGGACCTGCCAGAAGCGCCCTCCAACCACCCACATTGTTGTGTTTGACCAGGGTCTGTGGAACATGTTTGGTACATTGTTGTGTGTGACTATTATTACAGCAAGGTTGCAATCTTTCGTCTCTCTCTCTCTCTCTCTCTCTCTCTCTCTCTCTCTC